TATATATAGTTATATAGTTATTTTTTGTTGACATTGCCCTGCACAGCATTTCCAGTATGAAGATAAACTAGTCTTAAAAGTAGTCACCCATGCATACAACAGCATCCACAAATGCATGAACAGGTTTACAAATGTACACATATGCAATAAATTAAGGGTTAGTGGGGAGTGGTGGCGCAGAGGTTAGAGAGGTGGGCTTGTGATCCGAAGATCGCCGGTTCACGCCCCGGCCCCGACAACATCAAAAATTGTGGGTGGGGTAGGTGAAACACCCACACTTGCCCCCACCCTCATTCGCCCCACTCTGGGCCCATGAGCAAGGCCCTTAACCCCACCATGTGCTCCCTAAACAGGTCTCTCTTGAAAATGAGTTCTCGTGGCTCAATGAGACTAACCTGGATAAATAAAAGCTAAATGAAAAAAAAAAAAAAAAAAAAAAAAAAAAAAAATAGGAATTGTTAAATAAATGTGCACAAATCACCTGCTGGGACAACTGAGCCTTACCAGATCATCATCATAATAATAATGCATTTTATTTGTTAGTGCCTTTCAATACATCCAAGGACACTTCACAACATTAAAAACACAAAATAAAACAATACAAAATGGCTATAAAAACACTAAACCAAGAAGAAAGTAACAAGACTATACAGATATACAGTTATTGGGAAAATACACATTTCTATATATTGTATATTAAAACATTTACATTAATTTTACTGGATTCCAGATGTTACTTTTGCGAAAATAAACAACCTAAAATGAGTAGGACGTGTTTGAATCTTGTGGTATGATTGTGTGACTGCTTTTCAGGCTCATTTTTCTTCATATTCCAGCTCTTGTAAGACTTTGACCATCAGGACATACAGATCAGGACAAATCATGTCACCGTGGTCTCACCTACCCATTGGTCTTGTTTAAACCAGTGGCTACATGAGGGCACCCACACATGAAAACACGACAACACACCGTATCATCCCACATTGTATCGGACTACAATACAAGTTCATGTCCTTCATATAGGCTGCTGTTAACACCAGAGCACAGACGGCTGCATTTAGAGCGGTGCCGTAACTGGGAGGAATGGATTAATGTCAAGTGGAGTCGTATCATGTTCAGAAGTTTCTCTTGGTTTTTGTTGTACCACAAAGGATCATCATGCGAGTGAGTGACAGTTCTGAGGGGAGAGGATCAATCTTACCAATGCTGTAGAGACACATCAACTCTACTCCTGGCGTTGTGGTGTGGGGATCCATAGGGTAGGACTTCAGGTCGTCTATTTGGGGAACCCTGATGGAACAGCCCTTCGTTAGTGTCATCCTGTGTCCACATGTCTTACCCCACCTAAGATAGGACCCTGGTGGTTGTTTTTACCATACCATACCATACCAATTTATTTATATAGCACTTAAAACAGCAACAAGGCCAACCAAAGTGCTGTACAAAAGAACACAAACATGCACAGCAGTTAGGAAAACATAAAATAGAAATACAGATACAAATAGCAGCAGAAGCTAACTAAAATGGCCAACAGAGTAGAGAACAGACCGGGCCAAAACAAATCACACCGTGTTAAAGGCAAGCGAATAGAAGTGGGTCTTCAAGCGAGACTTAAAGACTGAGAGTGTGGGAGCCTGCCGGACACTCAGTGGCAACTCATTCCACAGTCGTGGACCTGCAACAGAGAAAGCCCTGTCACCCCTGAGCTTACGACGGGTTTCTGGGACTGAAAGAAGCATCTGGTCTGCTGACCTCAGAGAGCGCGGTGGGACATATGGCTGCAGAAGATCAGTGAGATAGGATGGGGCGGAACTGTTCAGTGATTTAAAAACATACATGAGAATTTTGAAATGGATCCGAAGGTGAATGGGTAGCCAGTGCAGGGAGGCCAAAACTGGCGTGATGTGCTCTCTATAGCCTGTACCAGTTAAAAATCGGGCTGCAGCATTTTGGACCAGTTGTAGACGAGCAATGGAGGACTGACTGATTCCAAACAGAAGTGAATTGCAGTAATCAAGCCTAGATGTTATGAAGGCGTGGATCACTGTCTCAAGGTTCTTTTTGGAGAGTATAGGCTTCAGCTTAGACAGCCGTCTCAGCTGAAAAAAACAGGATTTGACCATCATGTTTACGTGACTGTTGAGTTTTAAGGACGGGTCCATTATCACCCCCAGATTAGTGACCTTTTGTTTCTCTAGCGGGGCTAGAGAGAAAAGGTCAATGTCATGGTTCATGAGTGAGCCACTGGGATGGAACAGCATGACTTCAGACTTCTTCTCATTGAAGCTTAAGAAGTTTAAAGCCATCCAGTCCCGGATGTCAACCAGGCAGTCAAGAAGAGGCTGAATAGAGCGTGTGCCTCTGTGCCTCAGGGGGAAATAAATTTGGCAATCATCGGCGTAGATGATTTCTTCAGACTGCTTCTTTGTGCAGGAGTTGCCGCAGCGAGCGGTCACATTATAGTTATTGTTTTACTCTGTATGCCCTTCTTGGTGCAACCTGGGCTCAAACCTGCAGCCAGGCCACAGTATTGGCCACCAAGCTACAGCAGCCCCTAAAACAGGACCATGAAACAGTCTTTGAAAAGACAACACCAGTCTATGTTCTGCAGCAGAATGAGGCCCTCATGTGGTCCCTTTTTCTTTCCCCAATTGAACATGTGTGTAATAGCTTCACTGACCAAGTGATGATCTGTCAGATCTTGAAGGACACTTACAACTGTGGACTGAATTGCCACAGAAGAAGATACAAAGACTGTATGACTCACTAAATAACTGCTTGTAAGCAAACCTGACGGTGAGCCACACCTTACTGACCTGGAAGCAGCAGAGTCCCTGCACAGATAACACTGTTATTCATTTGATTGATATTTTAATCACTATACCACACATGACCTTCTTTAAGTTCCACCGCTCTAACCTGCTCCTTAACATTTTTGTCATTGAGTGTTTTGTGGATCAGTATTTGGACTAATTTGTACAAAACTAAATGAGTATTTTAAACTTTCTTTAGATAAAAAGCCATTTTAGTGACTCGTTTTCAAACGCCCGTTGAAAGGCGATGTATTAAAGTGTATTCTCTGCATGTCCATCTGTAAACCTTCTTTTGTTCTGCCCATAATGTCTGATGCGCTCAAGAAAATTGAACAAAACTTCACACGCATATGCATCATCACTTGGTGGAGTATGTTGTGCAATATCTCCCCAGCTTCAAGGCCACAAATCAAGGTCAAATGTTATACAACATCTTTGCTTGACCGGGCCATAACTTCTGATCCACTCAAGATAATTTAACAAAATTAATACACTTTTGTACCACCACTAGACAACATGTAGCATATTTTCATCTCCCCAGCTCTAAGGTCAAGGTCAAAGGTATACAAGGTCCTTGCTTGACTGTGTCTTTGCTATAGATTGCTGTATATTTGTTGATGGGTGTATCGTGTCTGTCGTAAAAGGATGGATTTCTCTCTTCCAGTCTATGGTGAGGTTCTGCCTTAAGTGGTGGAGTTCAAGAATCTCTGGGTTTTGTTCACGAGTGAGGGAAGAATGGAGCGTGAGATTGACAGATGGATTGGTGCAGCATCTGCAGTATTGCTGACTCTGTACCGGTCTGTTGTGGTGAAGAGAGAGCTGAGCTCTAAGGCAAAGCTTTCTGTTTACCGGTCGGTCTATGTTCCCTCTCCTATGGCCACAAACTCTGGTTCCTGGACAACTCCCTAGGGAGGTGTTTCGAGCATGTCTGACTGGGAGAAGATCCCAGGAAAGACCCAGGACATGCTGGAGATACTATGTCTCTTGGTTGACTTGGGAATGCCTTGGGGTCCTCCCAGAAGAGCTGGAAGAGGAGGCTGTAGAAAGAGATGTCTGGGCCTCCCTGCTCAAGATGCTACCTCTGCGACCCGACTTCGGAATAAACGGAAGATAATGGATGGATGGATGGATGTATAAGGAGTATTAAAGGTTTTAAACACAACAATATGCTCCAGGTTGGATGGACGGGTGTGTAATGTGCCATATTTTGTACACTTGTTGAACTTTTCTGTTTTTCTTTGATGTAATGTAATCCCACCTATTTCTTGTCTTGTTTCCTGTGTCTGCCTCTCTCAGGACCTCATCGTGGACCAGACCATAGAGAAGGTTTCATTCTGCGCTCCTGACCGTAACTACGACAAGGCCTTCTCCTATATCTGCAGAGATGGAACCACCCGACGCTGGATGTGCCACTGTTTCATGGCTCTGAAAGACTCTGTGAGTCTTTTTGTGACATTTTGTTTGTCTTACATTTTGTCAATACATTGCTTTAGATAAGATGATAGTTCAGTAGTTGCTCACAGAAGTTCTGCTATTAGTGCATGAGTTATAAAATAATAAGTCAAGATTATTGTACTGTCTTAAAGTATATTTGCAGCCAAGCCAGCTGATTTCAAACCTCAAGCTGAAATTTAAGGCCTGCAGCAGTAAGAGCAGTACACTCTCATGTCATGTCAAATTTATGTTAATAATAAATTTATTATAATAATAATAAACCCAATAAAAACATTTTAACAAAATAAAAAAGAGTTAAGATGTAATTCAGTCTGGTTTAAATAGGGTTTCTTGGTTACATGAACTCAAACTGAGGGTTGGATTAATAATGTGGTTAGAAGAGAACAGAGCGCAAATCTGTGGGATTAGAAAAAGGGATTAAGTCTGCAGGGTTATCTATCCATCTCTGTCTGCCTCTGTTTGCCTGACACCTTCTCCATGTCTACACGCTCCATGTCTCTCCTGTTGCTGTCATGGCCGACCCTGAAGGGGCTCACACCTAAGAGCAGGAGAACACTGCAGGAAGTTGTTGCATTTAGACTCGTGTGGTTTGACAACTTAACTCTATAACACATTGTGCGCAGATAAAGCTATCAATAGACAGATACTGTTTGTTTGCAATAAATGATCATTATTCACTTTATAGAAGACGGTGGTTCTCAAACATTTCATTACATTTCATTCAGTCAACTGTCAAGTTTTCAGACACACAACCAGTTTTTTCTTTCACCATTCTTTGTTATTCCAACAGCTAGATATATTTAATCTCACCTCTTTTTATGTCTAAATACACCGTTGCACATTGTGAGTAAACAAGCAGTACGCCGATGTCCCCCATCATAGTTTTCAAGATGAGCATTTTTCTGGACTGGAATTGAACAGGGAAGACAAGTAAACCTTAGTTGTTGTTTTTTTGTTTATTTAGTTTTTTTCTTGTCCGAGGCAAAGCAGAGTGATAGATCCTGGAGAGTGGAGGGAGCAGTTTTATCCATCACCAGACACAATGGAGGAGCCAGGGGGTGACCAATGGTGGCCTTGGCTGCCATAAATTAATCTGTGGCCATCCCAATCATTTGAGGAAACTACTTTTTCAAGCAATATAGAAACTAGACAGCATAGTTTCCTCAAATGCTCACGGCAGTCCATCCATCCATCTATTATCTTTTTCCTGCTTCTTCTTTTTCGGGTCGCGGGGGTCACTGGGGTCACTGGTGCCCATATCCAGCAATCACTGTGTGAGAGGTGATGGACACCCTGGACAGGTCTCCAGTCCAACACAGGGACACAGAGACAAATGAGACAAACAAGACAAACAACCATTCACTCTCTCACTCACACCTAGGTATAATTTAGAGTTACCAATCTGTCTAACATGCATGTTTTTGGTCTGTGGGAGGAAACCGGAGTACCCGGAGAAAACCCACGCATGCGCGGAGAGAACTTGCAAATTCCACCCAGAAAGGCCCTGGCCAGGATTTGATTGGGCGACCTGCTCACTGAGAGGCGGCAGCTCTACCAACTGCGCTACCGTGCTGCCCTCATTGGGGTAGACAATTTACAAATATATATACGGTGGTGCCCATCTTGGATTTTGATGTGGCAACCCATGTTTCGATAGTGACCTTTCTTATACCTAGATGCAGCTACAGACCAAAATGGATTGTTGCTTATTTTTTAAGTTATCCAACTCACAAGACAGATGGACAGACAAAGGCGGTCAACAAACATGGGTCAGAACTGGAGTACCATTTGATTCTCATCAAGGGAGTCTGAATAGAATCTTACACAGTCCAACACGCAGTCTGCCCCTCACAAAAACAAAGTACGGGTTGAAACATCTAAACATAAGTTCTGCTTGAAATTCTTGGGCCCAGAAATTAAATTAAAATAAAATATAACTCATCTTCTTCTAGAAGTCGTACCCAACAGTATGAGAGCCACTGCTGGTTGAAATGAGCGTTGAATCTAAAAACAGTCTTTAAACGTTACAGGTTTACAGTGTGAGGTGTTGCTGAAAGTAACATTGTAGTTTGTGTCTCAGGGGGAGAGGCTGAGCCACGCAGTGGGCTGTGCCTTCGCCGCCTGCCTGGAGAGGAAGCAGCGCAGGGAGAAGGAGTGTGGCGTGACGGCGTCGTTTGATGCCAGTCGCACCTCGTTTGTGCGTGAAGGCTCTTTCCGCATCAACTCATCCTCCAGCCAGCAGGGCAGCAGCAGCGAGCGAGATGAGAAGCTGCAGGACAAGAAGAAAGGTCAGAGAGCGTTTTACACCTGAGCCAGAAAAATCTCAAATGTCATCAATGGAAAGAGCGTTCAAACTATACGATGGAGTATTAGGGCCACGCTAAGAAAAAATACATAACGAGAATGAAGTAGTAGTATTACCTTATGGGGAGTGGTGGCGCAGAGGTTAGAGAATGTGGGCCTGTGATCAGAAGATCGCCAGTTCAAGCCCCGGTACTGACAACATAAAAAATGTGGGTGGGGTAGGTGAAGCACCCACACCTGCCCCTACCCTCATTCGCCACACTCTGGGCCCATGAGCAAGGCCCTTAACCCCCATCTGCTCCCTAAACAGGTCTCTCTTGAAAATGAGTTCTCGTGGCTCAATGAGACTACCTGTATAAATAAAGGGTAAATGAAAAAAAAAGAAAGAAAAAAATTATGAGAATAAAGTCATACGAGAATAAAGTCATAGTATTACCAGAATAAAGTTGTAGTATTATGAGAATAAAGTCATACGAGAATAAAGTTGTAGTATTACCGAATAAAGTTGTAATATTATGAGAATAATCATATGAGAATAAAGTCATAGTATTACGAGAATAAAGTCATATGAGAATAAAGTTGTAATATTACGAGAATACTCATACAAGAATAAAATCAAAATATTACGAGAATAAACTCGTAAGTCATTTTCAGTTAGAAAAACTACTAAGCTAACCACTTGTAGCTTTGCAGTCGCCCACTGCCAGAAAGCTCCTCTTCCACAAAAGAAGCAATATCTTCCAAATTCATGTGCTTCTTTCTTGGAAACAGACATAGTCATTTGCACAATCGTTTCAAAATCCTGATATTGATACTAATCTGATGCTGATGTGCTAACAGATTAAGTATTCAAAAAACGTCCAATACAAAAACAACTGGACTTTATTTGTAACAGAAGACGTTTCGCTCCTCATCCATTATAAGGCTGAGTGAGATAAGACACACACACATAAGACACACACACACATATGTAGATTGGCAGTTCATACCTAAACACCTTAACAGTAGGTCTTTGTTCATCTAATTCATTCTAATTCAAGACCTACTGTTAAGGTGTTTAGGTGTGAACTGCCAATCTACATATGCGTGTGTGTGTCTTATGTGTGTGAGTCTTATCTCACTCAGTCTTATAACCTGAATCCCTTACTCACTGCTCTTTGAATTGAGAAAGCTTCTCGGATGAGGAGTGAAACGTCTTCTGTTACAAATGAAGTCCAGTTGTTTTTGTATTGAACGTTTTTTGAATTCATCATGTCCTGGATGACTGAGAATCTTCACCAGCCAACAGATTAAGTATTTCCTTATTTGTAAAACCAGTACCAAAGTACAACTTAACAAGCCATTCAACATTCATCAGCAGCTGTAAAATAGCTTTTTCATGTCGTAGTTCTGATATTACAACTTTATTCTCCTAATATTTTGACTTTATTCTCATAATACTATGACTTTATTCTCGTAATATTATGACTTTATTGTTGTATGACTTTATTCTTGTAATATTATGACTTTATTGTTGTACGACTTTATTCTCTTAATATTATGACTTTATTCTCAGAATACTATGACTTTATTCTCGTAATAGTATGCCTTTATTGTTGTACAACTTTATTGTAATATTATGACTTTATTGTTGTACAACTTTATTCTAGTAATATTATGACTTTATTGTCATACAACATCATTCTCCTAATATTTTGACGTTATTCTCATAATACTATGACTTTATTCTTGTAATATTATGATTTTATTGTTGTATGACTTTATTCTCGTAATATTATGATTTCATTGTCATATGACATCATTCTCCTAATATTTCAACTTTATTCTCATAATACTATGACTTTATTCTCTTAATATTATGACTTTATTGTTGTACGACTTTATTCTCGTAATATTAT